CAAGGAAATGTCTTCCCTTCTGAAGAAAGACGTGTGGACGTTAGTTGACAGACCTTCTCACAAGTCCGTTATCCGTGGTATGTGGATTTTTCGGAAGAAAGTCAACCCGGAAAACTCTGTCAAGTACAAAGCACGTTTCGTAGCTATGGGAAACACCCAAGTTGAAGGAGAAGATTATGGTGAAACTTTTGCTCCTACTGGTAAACCCACATCATTACGTTTACTTCTAGCTATGGCTGCAATTTACGGTTGGGAAGTTCACCAGATGGATGCAGTTACGGCATTCCTAAATGGGATCCTGGACGAAGAAATTTATATTGAACAACCTGAAGGTTATGTTGTGTTGGGACAAGAAGAAAAGGTTCTCAAACTTAATAGATCACTTTACGGTCTTAAGCAGTCTCCCAAAATTTGGCAAGACGATGTAACTCAGTTCTTAATCAGTTTGTGCTTTGAACAATGCGCCATAGATCACTGTATTTATATCAGATCGAATCAAGAAACTCAAACTTTTACTGTAGTGTATGTTCATGTTGACGACATGGCAATAACTGGAAATGATTCCCAAACTTTTAAAGATGAAATATCCGCAAAATGGGAAATGGAAGATCTTGGATTAGCTCAGACAATTGTTGGAATAGAAGTCAATAGAAGAGCTCACCATGTTTATTCTCTCACTCAAACAAAATTCGCCCTGACTATTTTGAAAAGATTTGACATGTTAAGCTCAAAACCGGCTTCTACTCCTCTTACACCTAATATCAAACTCTATCGATCAACTGATGAAGAGTGCTCAAGTTTTTCTAATCTCAATTTAAACTATCAAAGCGCTGTGGGATCTCTTATGTATCTATCCCAATGTACTAGACCGGATCTGTCGCATTCAGTGGGTGTTCTGTCTCAACATTTAGATAGACCTGGTTTACAACACTGGAATGCGGCAATGCAAGTTTTTCAATATTTAAATGGAAGTGTTCATCTTGGTATTGTCTATTCAGGAGGAGATGAATTAGTAGTGTCTGGTCAACAAAGTTTTTCTTATCCTGTGTCACATTGCGACGCTGATTGGGCCGGCGACAAGAACACCAGAAGATCAACAACTGGATACATTTTTACGTTAGCAGGAGGAGCTCTTTCTTGGAAAAGCAGGTTACAACCTACTGTTGCGTTGTCTTCAACTGAAGCCGAATATAGAGCCATTACAGAAGCAGGACAAGAATTGTTATGGTTAAGAAAAATGATGGAGTATTTTGGCTGTCATGATCCTGAACCCACTGTTCTTCAAAGTGATAATTTAGGAGCAATTCATCTAACCAAGAAATCGATTTTTCATGGCAGGACAAAGCATATTGAAATTCAGTATCATTGGATAAGAGAGATTGTTAAAAATGGAGATCTTATTCTAGAACATTGTCCTACGTCTGAGATGGTAGCAGATTTGTTAACTAAAGCACTAGGTAAACAACAATTCATTAGACTTAGAAGTAAATTAGGAATTAAATCATAACAGACAAGAGCTTGAGGGGGTGTGTTGGAGAAAGTTAATTCTATCAAGAACTTGTCGTCATGTATATTCAAGAAGTACTTACTATCGAAGTCGAGCTTTATGTGAATTGAAGATATTCATGATGTGTTTTACTCGAAGTCGAGTTAACTTAATCTTACTCAATGTTAACGATGTGAAGAGGAGCGTGTTAGGTTGAAAGCTTATTGATCTTCATAGTGATCTAGTTCAGTGGTCGGAGTAAGTCAAAGGAGGAATTAGGGAGTGTGTGTGCGGATGTAGCTTTCATTTGAATGATATGTTTTTCTTATACGTGTTTATCTTTTTATATATATGTGTTCCTCTGTCCACCTTCAGAATCTTTTTCTCTCATCGAAGAAAAAGATTCTAAAGGTAAGGTCTTTTTATGTTTTCTTTTATTAATAAATCCTGTTATTAAATATATGAGTTTCTTTGTCTTTTTGTGTGTTACATTGTTTAGTTTCATCTTAATCTTTGTTCAGGTCTGTTGAGTCTTCGTACTCCGTCGTCTTTTAAGTCCTCAGCTTGTGTCTTGTCAACACAAAAGCTGATAGTTATTTTTATAACCTTTGTCAAAGGTTTGTGTGGTTGTTTTCTTTTCATTATATGATCGAAGAAAAAGATTCTAAAGTTTCATCTTAATCTTCGTTCAGGTCTGTTGAGTCTGCGTACTCCGTCGTCTTTTAAGTCCTCAGCTTGTGTCTCGTCAACACAAAAGCTGATAGTTATTTTTATAACCTTTGTCAAAGGTCTGTTGAGTCTTCGTACTCTGTCGTCTTTTAAGTCCTCAGCTTGTGTCTTGTCAACACAAAAGCTGATAGTTATTTTTATAACCTTTGTCAAAGGTTTCTGTCACAGTTTCGTAATCTTACACAAACGGGCGTAGGAATCTAGTTTATCATTGGCCTGTTGAGTTTAACATGAAGACATATGGATTTTATTTCACTCAGTAACTGCACGCATTTTGCCATAGGTTCACGGCTCATCATGAAAGGTGATATGATACTCATCGTATTACCACAAGAGAAATGATGTTAAGATAATTTTAGGGGAAATTGAGGATCGATTGGGGAAAAATGAGTTCCACGGTTGCTCAAACCGTGGAACCCCAGCGTTCGAGACGACCCCGAAGAACCTGGGGGTCAAGTCCGAGAGACCTGGAGGGGTTGTCAGAAAGACTCAGACAGCTGGCCTACGGTGGGAGTTTTTATTGCCGGTGGAGCGAGATTTCTGAATTCTGACCTGGACGTGTCAAATACACCTTACTTTAAATGACAGTCCAGGGTCACCGGTGCCGCTAACTTAACAAAGTCCCTGTCATCTGCCAGACTTCGGAACAAGTTCTAGACATCTGGCAGCAGGGACTTAGTGCTTATTGACACGCAGTGGCCTGAGGGTTTTGAGGCTTTTGGCTGGGAGCCACCTCTTTCCCTTGTTATCTCCTCCATATCCCGAGGAATTTTTTTGGGACCAAGGAATGAAAGATGCGCTGAGCATCAGCGCATCTTGTACACAAGAAACCAACCAAGGAACTTTCCTTGTTCATTTTCTTTTCAAGTGTAAAGATTTCAATTTTTATACCTTTTAATGTTGTTTCAACTGCTGTTTCAAGAAAAAAAAATCACTTCGAGATGTGGTTGAGAACTCTCAAACTGTGTTTGAGAAGTGTTGTTGTAAGCCAGATTGGGTTTGCTGAACCTAGAGTTTATTCATCTCAGTCGTAGTCAAGCATCTCAGTCGTAATCAAACATCCTTCAAAGTATTTTATTGCAACGTTGATAATCCTTAACTTGAAATCACAATCAAACAATATGCTCACTCGCAGTAAGCGTAACAAGGAACTGACGCTGAAGGACAATGAGAAGAATCACGAGGCTAAATCAAGCATGAACAGGATTACCATTCGAGAAACACTGCTCTCTGCAAACATCAATGCACAGCGCTTACATCTGATTGAAAAGTTTCAATTTGCATATTTGACGCCACCATGGGACGAGCAAGTCGATTCTGCTTTATCTTTAATGCACCAGAAAAATACCATTCTCCTAGCTGGTACTGGCTTTGGTAAATCGCGAGTGGCAGAACTATACTATCGTCTTTTTCCAAAAAGCAAAAATCCCATAGTGCTTGTAATCAATCCATTGGATGCACTCGGTGATATTCAAGTGTGTTTAGTTCATTGTTCCATTTGTTATGAATTCAATCTTATGGTAAACATTTGTTACATTCGTTAAGGTCGAAGAAAAGTCTATGGGCGGGATCTCAGCAATAAACCTCACTCAGGCAAATATGAGTGAGGACGCTGCTTCAGCAATCTTGGCCGGAAAATATCATTTCATCTAATTAGTATGCGTCAAATGACATCTCTCAAATTCAAAGACACATGTTTCACAATACATTGAACTTATTTTTTTCTTGTGCTCTTTTCAGAGTCCGGAAATCTTTTTGAACAGCCCAATATTCAAAACGTTATATTTCAATAAAGATTTTCAAAATCAACTCATCTTGAAAGTAGTGGACGAGGCACTTCTGATCTACCTATGGGGGCTAGTTGCCAGTAGAGCTGCTCGACACATATCAAGTCACCAAAAATGGCAAGATCGTGGAGTTTTCTGACCGTCATATGGAAATCTATTTGGACAGTTTGAGGCCACCGCTCATATTCCTGTACTATTGTTGTCGGCGACTTGTCGTCCTGTGGTACTTCAAGCAATCAAAGACAACTTCCGGTGGAGCAAAGACGACCTTGTTGTACATAGAGCTGAGTTGGTTTGCCCTGAACTCCGTCTAATACGTGTACCTCTTCAGCATCCCCTCGCTACTGGTGAGGATATGCAATATTTTTTTTCTCCGGCTACTCAAGTACCACCTTCCCAGATTCCACAAACTCTGATCTACTCGGGTAAAAAGAGTGAGACTTTTGAAACTTTACGAGCACTCAACTCTGCTCGCGGAGTTCCGGAAGAAACAAGGAACGGCAAAAGTGATTGCGCTCAAAGGTTCACGGCTGCAACCGTCCCAAACGATAAACTCGACCGATGTCGCGATTTCGGAAAGGGAGCCTTTTGAGTGATGTGCTGCACCATGGCTCTTGGTCTTGGTCAGAATTGGTGCAATGTATGTCGGGTGATTGTCATGGGACGAGGTGATCCCGCGACTATAGCGCAGATGCTAGGTCACTGTGGCCGTGGTAACAGACCTGGCTTGGGTATAATGCTGGTCGAGAAAAAAAATAATCGCCAGGGGGTGGGTAAAATGGATCCGTACTCCGAAGAAGGTCGGACAAAGGCTCTGGCGGAAACCCCTGTTTGTCTACGTGTAGCTTTTGCCGTTGATAATCTGTAAGCTCAAGCTTGTCTCCTTCTTGAAAACGCAATTGAGCTGATAATTTTCTTTACACAGTTTGGGATACATACCCAAATCTTTTGAAGATAAAGGTTATTGGGATGAATTAACTCGTCAAAAGAAAGCTGGCATGCCCCGCTGCCTATGCTCAAACTGTGAGCCTCGCGCTGCTTGCAGGCTCATGTCATTACAACCAAATTTAACAAATGCCAACTTCGATGAGATCGTGTTATCAGCTGATGAAGAAGAGCCAGCACCTGGCAACCCATCTGGTTGTGATTCTATAGTTTCGAAAACAGTAACAATGAATACTTGTAAAGAAGAAGATCCGATCAGGACCATTCCCGTAATGCTCGACCTTTTCAATCGCATTCGCACAAACTTTGACACACTGTATGAATCAACATTTCACGATGATGATTCATTATATACTGCATCTGACCTACTCAACACACAAGTGGTATGGAACTTGGTCAAGAACTGCCGGGAAATTCGTAATGGACAACGACTACCAGAGATCTTGGGGAGTGAGACTATACGTGGGTGCTTTAGCAACATTGTGGCTAGTGTGGAAAGCTGGTTTGAAAGTGAAATGTATAAATCATACATGTTGACTAACAATAATATTTATCCTTGGTTACCACAGCCACGGATAAATAAAAGAAAGGAGGATTTTGGAAGCGGTCCAAGCAAACGTCTCCGCGCAGGCCTCGAAAAGACCACTCAAACAGGTGGTAACCATCAACAGGGAGAGCCTTCAAATTATCAACACGCTGATCTACATTCAGGTTTCTTGAATAAATCATCCAAAGAACCTGGTAATTTCAAACCAACAACCGTTCAATTCGAAAATGAAGGCTTCAAGTTGTCTAAGAACCACTCAAGAACAATCAAGAACTGTAAATACCTTATATAATCAAACACTTAATCCTATTCAAACACCGGTTCAGTCCGCCTCACAGGGCTTTAGTAATCAAAATATATATAGTACGACGTTCAAGACCCCTTTTCAAATAGATCCAAACGTACCTGATCAGCACTTTCATATAAATCAAATGCCAGTTCAATCTTTACCTACAATCAATTCTAGATTGCCCAGAACACCCAATCAGACCAAAATGCAACCGATTGGTGAAAACCAAGGAGAGTACGGATATTCCCCTCAAAAACATATACATATGTTCCAAACACCTCCATCTATACCAACTCGCTCGAATGTAGACAGTCATGCGCTTGTTCATTTTCCACCTCCAAATAAGATACCAATGGACCAAACTCATCTTCGTACCAATACGTATTTCCACCCTACACCGGTCCCATTCTCAGGTCACTCGAACGTTCCAAATCAAACACCCTTTGGATTTTCTTCTCAATCGACTAAGCAACACCACCGAGAACCAATTCGAATGTCACCTGACACAAATTTACTTAATTCCAATGCACGACATCAGGCCGGTCAAACCAATGCAAAAACAACTAGAAGTTCAGTTCAATCTTCACCTCAGCCAAATTTCGATGATATCATATCATCATATCATCATAGATCGACTCCACAGGCCGAATTAATTACCTCTCAACAACCAGATAGGTTCAATGAACCACTGGTTCCATACTCTTCTGATTTTAATTCCCACACACTGAAAACGCCTCGAACCATTTTGCTAAACATGATATCGGGTAATGTTTCAGGTGACCCCAAATGGAACTCATCGCCTTCAGCTCATGTTGATCAACCAACATCTCCTTGCAACTTTCAAATGAATCGACAAACTTCATTCACAGTTTCTTCTCACTCAAAGAGAGAACAAACAGTATTTTTTTCATCAAATCAAGTGACTAATTCAACCAACGCGCAATCTACACACAAACACATCAATCAACCGCATGTAAATCAAAACATCCCGCTCCAGATTAGGTCAAATTTCGCTCCGAACGTCCCAAACAATCAACAATTTGACGAGACGCTATCTATGAACAGAAGAGTACGACTACCTAGTGTTCATAGTCTTGTTCAAACTGCCCCAACCTCTAGTGGAAGCGAGAATCGATTCATGGTCAATATTCAATCAGGCAGGTCGACTCGTAATGATTACATAGTGAGTTGGTCATAACCCATTTATTTTGAGGATCAAAAGTTCCACAACATGGACTTACTCGGTGCTACATATAAACCATCAGCAGAAATAAACGCTCACTCCATACTTTCAAGCTCCTTGGCTGTTTCCATCGCGTTTGGGCAACCCCAGAAAAATCGTGAGGTTTTTGATTTTGCAGCATCCTTTGCTAGAATTCCTTGGAGTTTATCTAGTCCTGTAATCATGTAATCCGGAGTGGGTGAAGGTTGTGGTGCTTGGTTAGCTTCAACGAGCTTTGATTTTGCCATTCTAAGAAAATTTTCCAGGCTTGTTGCTGAAATTTGATGATCACCAGACTGAAAGACCAAATTATCACCCAAACGTAACCTCAGGTGTCTGATTAGCTGTTTGAGCTTGGTGTAGAATTTGTTTCTTTTTAGTTAGTATTTGATTATTGCAATCATATTAAGTTGAGCAAGTGACAAGACTTACAATGTCAACATTTAATGAGAACCGTTCCGTGAGCCTCTGGATACTGGTACCAGCACCCTTTTAGAAATTTTGAAAATTTCAAAATTGAAATGACAATGTCAATTTGGTCACATACTTAAGCGATTGTTTTGAAAGTCACTTACTGCGTGGTTGAAAAAATACTTCAGCCACCAATTTTGTAACTCCAAATAGAAATCCTTTGCAATGAAATGACCAGGCCGACCGGATGCTGAAATCAACATTGAACGTTTGATAACATGCGCCAAACCCTTTGGAAGATAGTGTTCCAAGAGCAGTATGAGACGAGGAAGGTGCTGCGCGTAATGGGTTAAGCCGGGAAGAGATTGTCCCATAATTGACCACCGTTTCCACACTAGTATCAAACGACCTATATCACCAGCTTTTGACGCATCATTTGCTTCAACCACCGTAGCAAGATCTCTAAGCTGGATGCAAAGGTTGTATGTTCGGATCTGGCCCTTTTTTTTGGCAGCTAACACTTCTTTTCGTGCGAAAAACCTTTTGTAGGTCAGGTCAATTATCTCCTGGGCAGATTTTTGATCACTAAGATCCCAACCCTTAACACCTTTGTCTATGACTGAGCTGTTTGGATAGAAACAGATAAAGTAAAACATCTGATCTTTTCGAAGTCAAACAAAATGAGAAGATGAGAATTTATCAAAGGCAGAAGACCAAAGTGGCAGTATGAACATGGTTTATACATTCAATACCGGAACCGCTCCGATACGATACCAATTTCACCCTATCCTTGTATCGGAGCGGTATGGCCGCTATGATCACTCCGATATCACTCCGATATCTTTTTGTAAAAAAACTCTCCCAAGATATCGGAGCGGTAAAACCGCTCCGATACGCTATATAGCGGCGATATGGCTTGAAAAAACAAATAAAAAATAAATTACAAAAAAAACCTATAACCTTGATATAGTATGACTCGGTTTTTGGAGTAGTGACTGATCAGCTAAAAGACAATTGGTAAAACAGTCTAACAGAGGTGAAGATGAATGCGGAGAGGTGTTGAGAGGGACTTGCCAAAGAGGAATGAATGTTTTTGATTGGACGATGCGAGATCGAGGCCAGGTTGAAATGAATAGGTTTCAAGAACCTCCGAATTGCTTGATTGATTGAACTGAGATTCGGATTGCCATGAGAATTGCACATCCCAAGATAATGATGCAAAAGTTGCCAGCTTAATAGAATGATTTGTAATCTGTGACTTGGACAAGATAAAGTTAAATATGTCTGTTGCTCAAGTTTAAATAACTGAAGTTCTAATGAGATAAGTTCTTGAAATGATAGTCGATTAACACTCAATGGTCCTATTTGAGTATTCATCCTGGAAGCTTGTGAGAATTGTGAAATTGGGTCTGGTAATCGATCGGTGGCGAAGATGTTTGCTGATTCAAATAGTTGTTTCCAAGGATAGTTTGATGAGTTTTTAGCCAGTTTGAGTAATTTGATGGCATTTTGAAGTTGAGATTGAATTGGTTTTTGTTCATGATGATGATAGTCTGAATGAAAGTTGATTGAGAATGGATTAATCAGCATCTTAACTTTCTTTTTATGGTTTTGATTGAGAATAAATTGAGTGCTTCGTTTGCAGACCATTGTTCTCCCTTTTCAATGACTGTTTTCATCAATCATTCACCCAATTCATTCCATTCCTCGCATTTTGTTTCTTCATTTAAGCTTTGGACATCTTCAACTTCAACTGGACGTTCTTGTTGTTCTTGAGTATTCTGTAATAATATTGTTGATTCGTTAGCTAATAGGTAAACAAAGTTGAGTTTTGAGATGCCGAGCAGGGTATGGTTTCGTCCGATATATTCCAATATATATCAGATAAAACTCGGACCCAGCCGGTATCGGAGCGGTCACTCCGATACCTGATTTTCAACATCTGGATGGCGGAGCGGAGCCACCGCTATATATAGTGGTGAATATAGCGGTCTCAAAACCGCTTCGATACCGCTCCGATACCGCTAAAAGTTGCGGAGCGGTTCCGGTGTTGATACATTCCATGACTGAACTGTAATCTTTCTTTTCTTTCGGCGGTTTTGATGATCCTCCCAAAGATTCCCAGATCCTCCCAACACCTGTGTCTTTGTTGTTGTTATGATTACCCCAAAGTGCTAACACAATTGCTTGAGAAAAATTCCACATTGTGTGGGCTGCTCCGGGAACAGTAAGAAAATTATGTAAACCTTCATGACGATTTCCAGCTGGCATTCGATGGCGGCGAAGACTTTCAAAATGCATGCAGGTGCCTACATCACCTTTGATGATTTGTAACTCATCAGCGTGATCAGCCAGTGGTCTATCTGTTTGTTTAGTGACTGCCTCAAGTATCTGACCTATGCCTTCAGCTGAATTATCGGCTGCATTCATCAATTCCAGCATCAGCGTATCAGCTTCCTCGACATCCAAAACCTCTATTGATGGGGATTGAAGTGACAGTTCAAGAGTAGATGCTGAATTCGGTGAAATGTAATTGACATATGCTTGAGCTAGCTGTGCTTTGCATACTTCACACCAATGACTTGTAGCGTCATCGTCAGGAATGAATGTGTGCGCATCAACACCAGATTCAAGATCTTTATTCATTGACTCCGTGAAGGCCTCCATTGTCAGATCGTCCTTTGAAACCGAACCGAGAAGTTTTTTGGAGAGGAAATGGAAGTATCCCCACGTTCCGTGAAAAAGCCGACTACTTGCTTCAACTCGTTTGTGGTGTACCTTTTCTTGGATGTCCAGATTATCAAAGCACAATATCGGTCTTAATTTGTAAGTTTTACCAAGGCGTGTCTTCAGAAGTCTTGCTGATACTCTTCGGAGTCGTTCCAATACCCGCAAAGCCGTATTGCGAGAGGCACAAAGTCCAATAGATTGAAGATAGGCATTAACTCGCTCACTGACACCGGCTGCCAGGAAAGCTAACGCGTTTTCAAGCTGGAATCCGTTAACTCGACGGTTGCACACATTAGGGCCCGTTCGGATCGTTTTCAGATATTATCTGACCTGAAAACGAAATTTCGATTTGCCCCTATCTCAAGGGGCACATCGACATTGTTGTATTTTGGACATGGAAGTTACCGAACAGCAAACCAAAAGAGGTCAACCGACATCTGTTGACCTCGTGATGATCATATCGCTGTTCGGTAACGGCCATATCAACTTGCATGCATTTTCATTTGCCTCAATCTTTTGAAACGGTCATCCAGACCTTCATCATTTGCATCCTAAACTTTCCTTCTTGTGTTGACATTGCACCAAAATGGTTCAAATTGAACAATCGATTTCAAAAGTGATAACAGATTTGAAGATTTAACATAAAGAAACGAACAAAAAACAAAAAGAAAGAAAAGAGACAAAGCGAATAGAAACAAAAAACAAAAACGAAAAGGAAAAGGAACAGAAGAAAGGAAAGAACGAAAAGAAAAGAAAAGAAACAAAACAAAAACAAAGAACAGAAGCAAACAAGAAACAAAAAACAAAAAGAAAGACATGAAGACAGCAGAAAACAAGTTGATTGAAGAACTGCTTCGCTGCGAGGAATCAGGATGGCTAAGCAAAGGCGTGAGGATCAAAAAGGAAAAAGAGTGCGTGGGTAATGAGAAAAGGAGAAAGAAGTGATGGTTAGATGGGGGTTGAGGGAGGAGCACATCGACATATTGGCTCGAGATACAGCCAATTGGCTGTATCTCAATATGGATCAATATCTCGATCTTGATGATCAGATACTGACCTCAGATATTTGAACCGAACGCCAATCAGATTTTGAATATCTGGTGGAGTTTGGACCCAGATACTATCTGGCGCTATGTAACACTTTTGGTGTGAAATTTCGCCAGATAGTATCTGCTCGCGGTGTCCAAACGGGCCCTTAGCTATCATTAAGCAAACATTTTGTGCAGCCTGTGAAAAGCCAAATCCAATCATAGTGTGAGCGGTGAAACCCAAAAATATGTAAGTGAAAAATAAACATCATTCAAAATACACATCATTTAAAAGAAACCCACCGAAGACACTCGTGCTCTTGTCCACTTTGACCGACGCACTCGACAAGTGCGATCAAGGCCTTCAGCCTCGGCAAGTGAACCATCTTCAGATATGTCATCATCAGGTTTGCTCAAATTCAAAAGGTTCAGTTGTTTCCCGCCAGTCGAGTCTAAATCTAAATCATCGGTTTCGGAGGAATCCGATAGCGCATCTATATGATCAATCCAGGGGCCATCTGAGTTGCCTTCAAGTTCCAGTTCAAAATCTGCATTGCATCCTGAATCTTGGCGCTTTTTTCCTTTGCAGGTGAAATAATCAAATGAGCCTCCGCTGTGCAATTGGCCAGGAATCTTCGAGATAGAAGCTGGAAAAGGAACAGCATAGCCTTTTCCGCTTTCTCTCCTCGTTCTGCCGAGGCTCCAGGGCCGAAAAACCGGTGAGTGACCCTCTTTGAGCTCACAAAGCTGCCTAGCTTAGTCCGATTTCGACGGGAGGTTTTCATCTTTAGCAATTGATCTGCCTATATAAGATATTGGGCACTTGAGTGTCAGTAACTTGAAGCAGTATGTATGAAAATGAGTTCTCATATGTAAATCACCTCTTCCAATACAAACTCGCGCCAAAGGTCCCTTCCTGGCATTGTTTTCCAAGCCAGGCCGCGTATTGCTCGTAAAATGCGCAGGGTCGAAGGCCAACCGGTGGGTGTGCCCCACAGCTTTCGCAAGGTGGCTAGTCGCTCAGTATCTCTTCGCATGTCCGCTGGGGCATCCTTGTTAGATTGTGCAGACAAGAATATTTGCAAGAAACTTTTTGGCTTCAAATTGACGGAGTGGATGGTATCACAAACTGTCAAGGAGTCTTTGATGTCTTTGTGAGTGATCTTCAAATCATTTCCTGCTTGATCTTCCATGTTGATTATGACCACTTAATAAACCGAGCAATCCAATCAATTGTGATGATGAAAAAGGGATTTGGAATTAAAGATTTCAACGTATGTTGATCACTCGACTACGACTGAGATGAATAAACTCTAGGTTCAGCAAACCCAATCTGGCTTACAACAACACTTCTCAAACACAGTTTGAGAGTTCTCAACCACATCTCGAAGTGGTGTTGTTTTTTCTTGAAACAGCAGTTGAAACAACATTAAAAGGTATAAAAATTGAAATCTTTACACTTGAAAAGAAAATGAACGAGGAAAGTTCCTCGGTTGGTTTCTTGTGTACAAGATGCGCTGATTCTCAGCGCATCTTTCATTTCTTGGTCCCAAAAAAATTCCTCGGGATATGGAGGAGATAACAAGGGAAAGAGGTGGCTCCCAGCCAAAAGCCTCAAAACCCTCAGGCCACTGCGTGTCGATAAGCACTAAGTCCCTGCTGCCAGATGTCTAGAACTTGTTCCGAAGTCTGGCAGATGAATCATGACAGGGACTTTGTTGAGTTTAAAAAATTTGGAGATCGGTTCGATATCAGGCCTGTCAAAGAGTTGACCCGTGGTGTAATATATCCTAATGAATTTGAATACATACATGCATTTTTGAATCCTTCATATGTACACTTCTTTCACTTTAAGTATGTAGATAGTCTGAAAATTGAAGAAAAGGAAAGGAAACAAACAAAGGAACAAGGAAAAAGAAAAAAAAGAAAAGAGAATTCTAGGTCAACCATTTTAGCAAAGACACAAATGCCAACAGCTGTGGGATCTGATGTTGGATGTGTTGACCCCGGCTAAAGATTCTGTAACTTATTTTTATATATAACTCTGATTTCAACCGTCAACGCCAACAATTGCTGATGCTCTTACAGGATTCGAGCACGACTGCAGCACAGCCATCGTGCAGCAGCAGTCAACGAAACATCAGCTACCTTACGTTCACTCCTGAGAGTTGATAGCATTGTGGAATCTGTTGGACTGAATCCAAACAAAAACAAAATCTTAGTATAAGATAAAGAAGAAACAGACACGAAAATCTTATGATAAGATTTTGTAAAGAAACAGTCAGATGAGCTCTTTATTACCTGAATCCAAACAAAAACAAAATCTTAGTATAAGATAAAGAAGAAACAGACACGAAAATCTTATGATAAGATTTTGTAAAGAAACAGTCAGATGAGAAAAGAAAACATCAGACTGGTGTTCAACATCAGGTTATAAAGAAAATACGAAAATGAAATTATAATGAAATGACGTCACAACACCATTGACGTAATGTTCCTAATTGGGCTATATGATGTAATGTAGTCATAATTGAGAACAACGAAAATGGAGAAGATCAGAAATACATTTATGAGAAATACATTAAATATGTAGTAAGACATTTGAAGCACAAATAAATCCAACAGAATCTATCTTTGTTTTTCTTCTGCTTATGCGTTACATTTTCTTCCAGATCCACTATAGTGTGTTGATCATTAGATGAGCCTGACGGAGAGAATATGGGTTGTCTCTGGCAAACCACCGAGCTCGCGAGATTGTAGAACCGGAGGACCCCGGAAAGCTCCAGGTCAACTATCCGACCTAAAACAACCCAAATTGACCTTTTCAATACCCTGTGACGCGGTAAAAACCCAAAAATTGAGGTCAAACAATTCCGGTTTCGTCGGTACGTTCAAAGAGCAAAAATCGCTAAAATTTCCTCACGAGACGAATCCATTCGTTTTTCGTCGGTATGTACGTTGAAAAGGGAGTGTTTTTGGCCTTTTTTTCCGGCCAAAGACAAATCCATACCTGTCAGGTCGGTACGTCTGAATTCAAAAAAACGGGTTTTTGCTCGAAAAAGACCCAAAAAATTCCTTTTTCGTCGGTACGTCAGCGTTTTTTTGGACCCTCGATCCATACATTTTAGGTCGGATAGTTTACCTGGAGCTTTCCGGGGTCCTAGAACCGGTCTGTAACGCGCGCCAACTTCTCGACGTCGAAATAGTCCCTAAATGGTCCTTTCTTCCCAACTGGTACGGACGGACAATGTAAACCTAAACCAACTTAGACTTATCCAAGACCCACGCTGGTTCTGGCACGCTTCGAAAACTGCGAGGTCGAGGAAGAGAATCGTCTACATATTGCGCGCGCGCTTCTTTTCTCAGACAAAGCTTTCCAGACATACTCAAGTACTGAGAAATGAACCGATGGAATGCCGACGCCAAGGATTTGAACAGAATTACTTATGAAACTCGAAAATCCTCATCCGAACTGATAAGTTATTTCAAGCCAATTTCTGGGGGAGTATGTAGACACGTAGAAGGCACTGGTGAGAGAAGGCTCACCTGGAAGGTGTTGAGTTTGACATGCAATTCTATACTATATTCTATATCACAATCACCTAAACTTATCAGATGACGTCCCCCCGCTTGAGTCGAGGGAAGACAACACCAGAGTACATACAGTCGAACCCGCGCAATTGCATAATTTGGGGGGAACATCGGGCCTATGCAATTTCATAGGTTATGCAAAGTGAGGTAAAATACAGGATAGGTTAAAATGCATAAAGTTATGCATATATGCGGAAATAGGCCAAAATACATAACATTATGCATTTTTGCAGGTTATGAGCTAGGCTTTAAGACTTAGGGCTCAAGGTTTATGCCTAATTATGTACTTTTTATCCTGTATTTTGAGTAAAAGCTATGCAATTGGGCTTCCAAGACCCGGTTTTTTTGGGTTTTGACTTATGCATTATCATTTTTGACAAAATTATGCAATAAATGCAATTTTTAGCCCGCACCTAGTCGGGGAAAGTCCTGGCCTATGCAAAAAGGCTGATTATGCAGTTGCGCGGGTATGCAATTGCGCGGGTTTGACTGTATATAGCAGCTAGCTCAGGCTAGCTCTATAAAAGACCAGGCTTCAGTTACCCCTTTGGTCTCCCCACTAACACTTCCTCACTCCGTCTCACTTCTCGTATCTCATTCAATCTTTTATTAATTATTAATCTTACCTTCCACCACTTCTGAGGTCAATTTTCTTTCTTCTTTGGTATTTTTGGGGTAGCTTCTGATCGTTTGACTATATCATCATACTGAGGCTTTGTTTATCATTGCGATCACTTCTTTCATCGCCGATTGATTTCATCCTCAGACGACTGTTTGAATCAAACATCATGTCAGCCTCATCCAGATCGATGAATTTGAGTGCACTGGTCGTCGGTGTAGTGTTTCTGATCGCTCAAGTCAAATGCCAGGCCCAGGGGACATGGAGAGTGAGTTACTGATTATCATCTAAATCAAGTCACTCTATTCTTACCTGTTGACCCTAACGACTTTCATCTTCAGCCAATTTGTGAAAGCGGCAGCACTGTTGCGTGGCTCGGCGCGCATGGAGGGCTGTTGCCGCTATCTTATGCGGGAGTACCTGTATCGGGCAGAGGCCAATGCCTCGCTTCGAACACCGGCGCCACCTTTGATCTCATCACCGCCCCTACTGCTTTCAACTTTCCGATCGCCGGCAGAGTGTTGCTCTGTGGAACGAGCAACGGTTGTGCGAGCGCCAGCCCGGCACCTCCAGCCCAAGTAACGGTAAGTGTCATGCTATCTCAAGTTGAATTGCTATTCTTGATTTTCACATCTGATCTGACAATCATCGATGTTATCTTATCATTTCAGGCGAGAATATGTTCAGGTCAAAGCGTTGTGGCCTACATTTCCGGCCCAACCAACACGATTTATCCCGCTAATGGTCAGGGGACTCCATCTGGGCAAGCCAGATGCACTGGAACTACTAGCATCCCGGAACTAACAGTTGATGCAGTCCCAAGTTTCCCTCTGGGTTCCAACCCTTATTGCGCTATGGCCAATGGTGACTGTGCGAGAGTCGCCTGAGTTGTCCTCTGTGTTGTTTCCAACTCTTTTTCTGTCGTTTCTAGATTTTCCGTTTTTCTGCATGTGAATCTGTTCATTCTCATTCACAAACATGGCTTCTACTACATTCTGAAAGTTAAACAATGATATTGTTAGGATCTACGTCCAAGTTTGTTCTAGTGCCTTTGAATTGCGACTTTTTTTCCCTTCACCCTTGAACAACCATGTCAGGCAATTAGCTATGTTCATCTAAATCGTTTTTGTCTTCGTCACGATCTTTATTGAAGCTTGCAGTTCTTATAATTCAAAGTTTTGAGCTACCTGTCTCCATTCAAGAAAGCCGCCAATTCAACAGGCAGAGCTCGTCTGTGTCAAACACATCAGCCTGCTATTGCGCTTCACATTGATGATACGGCTGAGTGATGGGCTACACGATCGCCTCAGCTTACAGATTTCTTTTGACATAATGTGGTTTTGAATTATCACGATTCATCGTCATGACTAAACCTTTCAGCCCTCCTGTGTGATGATCGGGGTTGTAGTCAAAACAACACGGTTTTTGTTGCAAACGGCGATAAAGAAAGGAGAAGGTAAGAATGATGAGTATCATTCAATCATATGAAGTCTCATCATGTTATATCAACAGAGTTCAATCGGACGTCCAACTACATGACGGTCTTCGTAAACTAGTTTGTACGATTTCCCTAAACTTTTTATTAATCCAACTCACTAAGAATGTCTCATTACGATCTAACCATCAACAAGACAACGATGCAGGTCAATCTCACGTTTTGGAATTTTACGATACCTTAAAAGAAGAAGAAAAAACTACATTTTTGAAACAATCAAACACATTTGATCCTAATCGAGTCAATCCAATCTTTGAAGCATCAACTCAAAATATTCCATCAGAACCTTCAAATGATGAAGATAAAGAACCGCCACGAATTGATTCAATTGCATCTATAATTTTAACTGGAAGTGAAAGTCAAGGTCCAGGATGGAAAGCCATTTGGAAATTGATATGAGTCATCAGTTGTTTTTCATGGCCTACTAATCAACAAAAAACATGATCAGTTGCTTCACACGTCAGGATCAACAGAGGGATTTCTGAAGAAAAAACAACAAATCAAAAAAAAATCGATCAAGGGTTTTTTTGAAGATAAAGATTGAAAAGAACCAAACGTGAAATGGTAACTTCATTAGGATACTCATAAACAAGATCTTTAAACTCATATTCTTCTTCTAGATTGAGTGATTTGATGTTGATGCTGATGATGAAGTAGAGTTAAGCAGCTTTCAAGAGTTCGTGGTTGAGGTTCAATCGATTTGGGTAAAATGTAAAGGTTGACGTTAAAGTTGATTGGTTGGTTCATTTGCTAAATTGTCTCGAAGCACTCAAAATAAATGACAAAAGAATTCTCAAAACCAAACAATTTGAACAAAATTATCATTCCTTCAAGTTGAGTTGATCAGCTGTAATCACAGGTAAGTCACATCCATAGTTCATCTTTATGTTGTACTCAAGGCATAAAAGAAGCAGTAGCTATATATCTGGATCCATGAGGAAGGATTCATGAATCTATCATAGAAGAAATAAAGAACCCTCTGTTTGTGATCTTCAAGTTCGTAATTTTAGTTCTGTCTTTTTGAGTGAATCAAATTGATGTTTGTCCTTGATCTCATGAAGCAGTCAATTTGATCACAGAAACAACCAGAATTAGGAAGATTGAACTCTAACAAAAATAAGTGAGTATCACCTTGTAAATTTCTTGGTAGCACGTCAACGTGCACACACAAACAAAAAGTCATAGAGGATTGATAGAAGCTTTGAACAGGTCTTCGGATCCAAAGACTTTTCCTTTGTCCAGTTGCTCAGAAAGCGAGCCCTTTGTGAGACAAATATGCTGGTCTTTCCTGCTGTGCACACATGTAGTTCAATAAAACAAAACTTTTTTGTTCAAATATCGTCGTGTGTGCACGTTGACGTGCTACGAGGAGTTTTGCACGTAAGGTGTATCTTATGATGAGTCAAGGTAAAGCCTCTGATGAAAGAAACTAAGGGTGGTCATATGGGGTTTTCAGATCTCTTCACTTATGGATCAAAATGATCCATTGAAGTTGACTGTTTTTCCATGCTGGATGTTTCTTTGTAGTTCAAATCATTTCAAGATAAGATTTACAATCAATCTCAATCAAAAAGCTTATTGAAACAATATAGTACCATTGACCTATTCATTCAGATTTAGATTTCAATAATTCATTATTAAACAGATTGTAGAGGAATTGGTTTTGAAAAGCCTTTTTCATTATGAACAAAGGTAACAGGCATTCTATGACAAGAGATGCTTTTACTTATACAAGTTTCAAGCTTATCATGATGAAGAAATGTTTGTGAATGATGCTTAATTTTAACCTTGAGATCTGACAACTAACCATCTACTTTATTGTGATTCACATCATTGGTTCCCTCAAGTCTTTTCCTCATTTCCATGTGACAGAATTTGACTCACATCTTGACTTCATTTTATCACTTTTTTCAAATACTTGTCAGCTTCCAATAGTGGTTTACATTTCCAAGCCCACAACTCAGTGAATTTCCAGGGCCAATATAATCATGTAAAATAGTGATACTACTACATTGCAATCTGATATTCTGCTTTATGTGTACATTTTAATTCACATTTCATTATGTGCCAGCACAAGACAATTATGCTTATGATGTTGAATCACATTTCTGCTGTGTGATACTATGACCATGTGATCCTTGTTTGCTTGTTCTGCAGGCAATCCAATTGGATTTGTGATTCTATGTCATAGGATTGCATTTGAATTAAAGGGCTGTTTGGTCTTCTAAAAAGGGTGACAGCGGCGCTTTGCGCCCCATTTGAGCGCGCCGCTGTCTCAGAACAATTTTTTTGCACTGCAATAGCGCGGCGGTGAGGCTACGTAGCCACTGGGGTAAACCCCAGCACTGTCCCAGTTGACCCAAAATGTGGCGCGCTGCGGCGGTGTTTGCACGTTGGTTGTATCTTAACTCTCTCCTCCAGAGTATAATTAGGATTGTCCCATTTACCATCCTTATCTTGAATATTCTTTTAAATTGATATAAAATCTTGGTCCCATCTGCCTCTCCTGTCTATTTTGTACTTTTGTCCACCCCATAGGGGACCTTTTCATTATTTCTGAATCATCTCTTATGTACCTAACTATCCTACTATAGTTTTTTTCTACATTACATTGCAATCTTAGGGCCCTTGCCCTGATTTGAGGTAAAACACATCAATGTGAGTCCTAGCTCAACTCACAAGAAACAACCATACCTATTCTCCCAAATTTGATCACTGGAACTTCCATAACCATTTCTTCTACTATAATTAGACAGTAAATTGTGGTCTTCATGAGTGTTGAATCTCAAAAATCCTTTGGGGTTGTTTGGTCAGCCTGCTTGGGCTGCACCATATCAATTATAACTGGGACTGTGAGGTCATTCTGTGAGGTGCTGAATAATTTTGTTGTGTTTCATTGTTCATCTTGTCCAAGTTCATTAGGCACCTACAGCTGCTTGAGGCCTCCAAGAAAAACAAAAATTTTGATACCCCACCCCAAACCCTGGTCTGACGGAGCCAAGCAAGGAATAGAGAGCCCAGGGCACGGGCTTGATGCCCAAGCCAAAGGCTTTTTACCATACAGGGAGTTGGGAGAGGATCAATTCCCCTTGGGATTGAGCTCAAACACACTGTGATTATTCATCAATAAGCTATCACTGAAAAAACATTCTCACATCCCCATTCTTCATAGTCATGACCCGCCCCCGGTCCAGCTCCGCATTGAATGTTTTTAGAGAATCCAATATTTCATTGAAAAAGGGGTTTTCTTGGTTGTCCTTTATTCACAGTCTCTAAGTGCCTGAACACCTGATCTGTTGAGTCTGAGCTACTGAACTTTCCCCAATTTCAAAATCCTTATTTGTTCATTATGCCAATTGGAGCTAGTCAGGGAGTGGTGACCTCTTGAGCATCAGAGGCTCAGACTGATCTGCTCAGGTATTGTCACTTGTTTCTACACAAAAGGTTGACAAACTCCAGTACATACATATAATGGCCAGCCTGGTCTATAGCTTTTTTTGTCAATCAATTCCGTTGATTTTAAAGCTTGAGATTGCATTGCTTTCTGCAATGGTGATTAATAAGTCACATCACATGCTTTTCTTGTCATGTTAACAGTTGTATCACAAAGCCTGACTTTATGTAACCTCATTTGTCTGATCCTGAGTCACATACAACAATGTTGCAAGCAACTTATGCAATATAAGATCACACCCCATTTTCATTGCATGTCCACCCAGTAATTATCCTCTTCTTTTTTTGGCCTGCTCAACTGAGTAGTTATTGACATATTTAATGGCTTTACCATAATCACCACCTGGGTCAACTCCATCCTTAGTCCACTCTCGTGAACAGACCAACCTGGTGATCGTGGAAGGAATCAGGCCGGCACAATCTTGTGAGCAGACATCTGCTGCATCAGAAAAGACTTGTTTAGCTGCACAAATTGTACCTGAAACTGCAAGGTAGTCCCTTGCCAAATAGGCAAGTACTGGGAATACAGCTTGGTTTGCCTGTGAGTATTCACAAAAAGGTAAGTTAGTAGATCAAAGCGAGTGAAAAAGAGGAATAAACTTACCGCCCACCAATCCAGCGCCATCTTTGTTTCATCAAATTCACGTTGACCTGCTAAATAAGAATCAAGCTTGCCTTCTTGGGCTGTTTGAACAGCATTACTATTAGTAAAGTCATTGAAGTCATCATCGTCTTCAACGGTCGGGACCACCAGAGTATCAGATTGAGATGGTTGTTGTTGTTGTTTGGAAGATTCCAATGCAGAAGTGAATGTGTCAGTGAGTAATGTCCTTGTGCTATCTTTATGATTGGGATAAAACTTGTTAAAAAAGGCCAGTCAATAACAAGGGTGCAAAGCTGTTGCCAGTATCAACGCTTTACATTCCAGAGCCTTGTCTAGGTAAATATGTAACTGATCTATCATCACACCAATCATATCTTTGAGGGGAGCCATTTTTTTTTGGTTCGAGCTTCAGTGAGGGCCATCTTAATTCTATTATATTCAACAAATACCATAGCTCCAGAGGGAAAGTCACCCTCCATGTGTTTGGTGCCAATGGAGAATATCTGGGACAATATACAATTAATAATGAGATGCAAGTGAAAGTAAATGCAAGTGAAAAAATTAGAATAAGAAACAAATGACAAACCTCTAAAATTTTGTTGAGAGCCTCAATTGCTTCCCATTCATCAGCATGAATGAGTGT